TATCCTCCACTTCCTTTCTTTTTCCTTCTTTCCATTTCTCCCTAAGATTCCACAGGCAAGGAAGCTGCCAGTCTAGGACTTGAACCCATCTGTATCTAAACCAAGGTCTTTGACGTTGACCACTCTGTTCACCTTCATCTCTAGATTTTTCAAGTGGGTACTCAATGTATATTAGACAGTAACAAAGAAATAAAACTCTGCATAGTTTCTTAAACATATAAAGTGTACGATGTAGATATATTCATAGAAGCTGTATAGGCATTTCAATCCATGACAGAACTAAAATGTGTATGTTTCTCCCATCTTTTGCAAGCTTTTTTCTCCAAAACCTGACCAATATATTCTTTGGCTCATATCTAAATATGTGTGAAGCCGTTTATTTTCTTAAAAATGAATAAGGCATTTCCAACCTTCCAAAATTGCATTAGATTCAGGCTGTGATAAATTCTACGGTTACTTAAACATTCCCACACCCAGGGTTCACACCATATATAAGTCCCTGCCCTTGAGTGTGGGCAGAAACTGTGATAGCCATCATTGCCTTGGATGGGTTATATTGTGTGATTATTGTATTACATCAAATAAGAGTTCATCCTAGCCAACTAAGATGGACGACATAGAAGGCAGACATGCTACTGCTGGCCAGGAGACATCCGTGCTGTGAGCTGCCTACATGGGGCCCAGCTGGAAACGGTGGCACCCCCTAGAGGCAGGAGTCCGCTGCTGCCAGAAGAAGGTTCTCAATTCACACAGCAATTTATGGACAATACAGAAGGAAAAACAATTGAGCACCCATTGGAAAATTCTAGAGCTGAAGGTGAACAGAGTGGTCTTAAAGACACAATAAGCCTGTAAAATGGGGCCTGGGCCTGAGCTTTTCACCAGTAAATTGTGCTTCCTGCCACGGACCTCCACCCTCAAGGGAGCAGCCATCTTAGTGGGCCGCAGATCTCATGCTCAAACACATGTGAATGGTTTGTGTTCTCACACAGCCACCACCAGATGGGTAACCTGAGGGACAGAAGGAATACACATCCCAGAGCACCCATCTTAAAGACACCCCAAGACTACAGAAAAACACCCATCTCCAGGTCATAAAATGCGCCCCCCCTTGAAGCTCCCACTCTACTTCTTTGAATGTGTACTTTAAAATTTCTGCCTAGGCTCTGGTGTGAACAAACTATAATAGTACATAAGATCCTAATGAGATTATTGACAATGTGAAATATGAAGAAAAGGGCTAAAGGTGTAGGGAAAGTGGGAAGGGTAGGGGAAAGGTAATCAGGGAAAGAAAAAAAATAGGAGAAAAATGAAAAAATGGAAATAAAATGCTTGTAAATGGGGAGAGGAGGAGGGGTGAAGGGAGGGCAGGGACAAGGGGAAAAAATGAGAACCAAGACCTGTCATGTACAGGTACAAGATCCCAATGATGAATGTAACTGTACTGTATACCTAAAAGGTACCAATAAATTCAATGAGGGAAAAAAAATTTTTTCTGCCTAGGGACAGGGATTTAGCTCAGTGGTTCTGCTGCCTGACTCACAAGCACAAGGTCCCAAGTTCGATCCCTGATACCAATTAATTAATTAATTAATTAAATGTCTACCCAGTAAATCCCGTTATACATCTTACTGTTGTGTCCTGAAAGTTCTTCCACGGCAACAGGACTCAGAGAACTAGCAACTTAATTCTACAGGTAGAGTGGCTCTCCTCCGTTCCTTGTCATGGTGAGAACCCCTTAGACCCGTCTGGTGACAAATTCATCCTGGAAAAGTTCATCCATCCCTAATGTCTGCTCTCAGTGTCAAAGCCCCACCCTGGGTAGAAAACAGTCATGGCTAACAAAGTCTACTTTACAATTCTCACTGCTGCTATTTCACGTACACATCTTAAGCTATTTCTCACAGTAACTAGTTCTGCCAGAAAGTAATGTCTCTTAAAAATTCTTATGCTCAGAAAACTTTATCAAAAAATATGAACAGTAAATTTGGATTATCGATTTCAAAACTCCCAAGGTCTTTAATATAGTGTGATGTCCCAGGTAAATGTAAAGTACAAAGATTTCTATAAGGAGAGAAGAACTAGGAAGATACTGACCATGCAGGGATGACTTTCGTCTTATTGCAAAGCTTACAGAGGAGTCTGCATTCCAGCCAGATCCAGTTCCGCAGGGTCCTGAAGGGAACAGGAAGTCAAATACCTTCTGAATTCCCTCAGGCAGTCCACCCTCCATGGGCAAGGCACTTTTTGGAGCTGGGATACCCAGCCAGATGCAGGGGATCAGCAGGGATGGGGAAGACAGGAGAAGCAACAAGCATGGCAAGAGGAGAGAGCAAGAGATGAGCACCCAGGTGCGAAGGCGGGGGATTCTCCAGCAAGACCAACCTCCTCAGCCACCCCTTCCATGCCCTTCCTTCCCCTGCAGCCTTCTTTCCTGCCCACCTTGCCAGTCTCTGGCTTTCTCTGGAGCTCCCCACGCATGCTCACTCCGCTCTGCCGCCACCTTCCAGCAGATTCCTCCCGACATGCGTATGGCTTATTCCTCCTGTCCATCTTGGCCCCTAGACAATTGTCACCCCTTCAAAATGGACCTTCTGAGGTAGAAAGGGGACAAGGAAAAACTGTACTTCGGGGAGACTGTAACCTCAGGAACCAGTGAAGTTACCACATCAGCATTCCTTTGGATTCCTTCCCTAGGGGACGCCACGCGCGGGATTCTTAGGAATGCTAAGTCCACATACTGGCTAAAATTAAGAAAGTAAAGACGAGGAGCCTGGTCCCAAGATAAAGGAGCAAGGTGAGTAAACCCAGAGAGTTTTCCAAGTACCTGATAGGAAAGGAGCAATCCTACCTGTAAAATGGGCTAATGCCCTTCTGGGGGTGTGGGGCACTCTAGGGGCCTCTTCCACCCCTTCAGGGAGGCACCGGTGCGCCCACTTCACACCTGACCCGCATCTGGCTTCTCCGAGTGCGGCCCGCACCTGCCTAAGGAACCCTTCCGGGCCTGCTGCCGCACCCTGAACTCTTTTTCTGCAACAGGAGGCGGTGAGCCTACTTCGAGAGGCTGGGTTAAGTTCCTCGCTTCAGCCTCCTGTCATCTCTGTGAGGCAGGGGCAGGAGGCAGAGAGGCGTGGCGAGGGCGGCTTTAGTAAGTCCAGCCGAAAGGCTTCTTTTCTTTTCTTTTTTCTTCTCTTTCTCCATTTCCCCACCCCCCCCCCCGGCCCTCAGAAGTGTAGTTTTCTCCCCTCTCTCTGCCTTGGAACCACGGTTTGTCTTTTTTTTTTTCCTCCCTTTTTCCTCTCTTTCTTTCTCTCCCTCCACAGGCTTGGGGCCTTTCTCATGTTCAGTTAGAGCCTCACGACCGGCTAGAACATGTGTGCTCACACGCAGTGAGTGCGCTCAAGCCCAGAGCCCTTGCTCTCTAACCGGAAGCGGAAGCCGGACGGCAGCCTTCCAGGTCTTCCTTTAGAGATTCCGCGCACCACGCCCCTCCGTGAGGTGGGACTCAGAAAACTCCGCTTGTCCTGGAATACATATTCTGTGTCCGGCAGGGGAACCGGATCCTGAGACGTAGTGGAGGGAGCCGGTCTCGGGGTCGCAGTGGGGGAAAGCAGGCTCCACGTACATTCACACTGGTGGTCTGCCGGCC